AAAAAAAATGTAAATGATGACATTTAATCTTATCGATGCGTTGTATATACATTTGTTAAAAAATGACATACATATGTCATCCCTCAAGCATTGATATATCGATTATTCTGTCTCACATAAACATATTTATAGAAAGAATCATCTCGTTTTATCTGTTTACAAATTGATCTCTTTTCGCCTTTTGTGGGATGTAACAGCGTGCACTTGTAAGTAAAGTTTCGCGTAAACACTAGAATAGAGATCAAAGTGGTTAAGGGTGCTCGGATCGCAAATGTCTCTCTTTTCCATTGTGTGCGGTAGGTAATCCCCGATTGAGACTGAGAACCGTCGGGACGCCCGCGACGTCACCCACACCTGTAAATCATGGAGGAAACTGCCGGTGGTACCAGCAAGGACAGCCACTTTTCAAGAGAGGTCTCTACATCAAGTTTGCGCACAGACTCGCGCCATGCTCGTATATTATCTCCCGATGTTGCACGGCCACGCACCTCTCACGCTTCCCATTTTTCCTGCAGTTTAGAAGTGGATATCGAGGCGCTGGATTTTACCACCGGCGGTAGTAGCTCTCGGGGATTTCGAGGGTAGTAAAGAAGATTTCGAAGCGGTCGACCTTGGATAAGATGACTCGTTAGATTGGCGTGCGATAGAGATAGAGAGACGACAGTGATTACTTTCGAAAGTAAAATGATGATTGGATGTTGTAACAAGTCTAAAAATTTCAATGAATTTATGCTTATTTTACCGCCAGATCTCTTATAATATAGAAATGTTTTAGTAATATAACATATTTTAAAGTATATCATATAGTCCTATATAATGTACACGTACATTTATATTTTTAATTGCGATTGCCGAAACAATAAATTTATGAATTGTTACTTTAAAAAATATAAAGCAGATAAGATATAATAAAAACCGAAAAGATGATTATTTTAATATTAATCGATTAAGTAAAGAAGTAATAAAAGTACGTATATAACTATTTGTTTAAGTATCGGATGACAGATGAACAATTTTACGTCACGTTAATATTATAATATCTAATAATTTTAGAAGCATTGCATTGAGAATGGTAATTTCTTATCGTATTACTTCGTTCTTTTGGATAAATACTTGCCGAGGAAATAAGGAAGGTTGTTTAGTCCATAGAATGGAGTGTCGCATTGAAAGACGAAGCATTAGGCACGGCTTAACGTCAATAGGAATCCCGGCACCTGGGTACGCCATTAAAAAGTCCCCTTTTTTTTACATCATCGTGATTCCATATCCCATCCAACTTCTTCGATACTTTGGTGAACTCGAGAGTTTGTCGCTAAGAGTTCTCACATGTTTGTGCGTCTGCGACGAAATGGATCCTGAGTATTCCTGTAGGGATTATTGCATTTCTGTAAATGCTCTATTAGGGTGAAACTTAACCGGTAAACAAGAGTTCGTATTTGTTCGCACTTTTTCCACGAGAATACAATTTTGTAATTTGCCGTAATATCGAAGTGCTTTGAGAGAATGAAAGAGATAATGCGTATAACTTCGTTCCTTTAATCAAACATATGCGCGTTGCACATTTAGCAATTTCTTTATATAACATTGCTGATAAAATTTCACGCGTTTGTTCAACGAATCTTTCGAGGCTAAAATTGATGGAGAACATTCGCGGTGGATATTAAAACACCCTATTAATACGAGACTCACGCACCGGCCGTTGGTCATCGATACGCAGCCGGCAGTGACGTTCGGCCCTTTAATTATCGCGGATAAATCATCGCGTCGTATCACCCCTTCTGCTTGGTCAGCGCTTTTCTTTCGCTTTTATAAACAAATAATGCAAGTGAGGAACTTCTTTGTGTGCTTAGGCTTCAGCGAATAAAATAATATTTAATAATAATACTGAAATATATATTTTTGCAGTTTTCTTAGATATATTGTCTGAATAGTCAGACGGCTTTTAGTAAGGGGCGATTCTTTTGAAAAAAAGTACGCTGATTATCAGCGAAAAGGCCATTTCGGCACGCATTATCTCGCGTTGATTTACCCTAGCAGTTAGTCATTGTTTGGAGAAGAAATGCGGCGCAACCCTACCGATCTCGTCCGTTTTTCGCGCACGTTTCCTGCAAGCTGCGTATTTATTCGTGCGTACGTCGACACCGGGCGGGCGCGCATTGTTGCGAAATTATCAGCATTGTCATGCGCGACTCGATTTATTTTGTCTATTCGGCGGAAAAGTGCTTTCATTTGCGTGAAGCGACGCGGGAAGGGAGGAACATGTCAAAACCATAGAGGAGGAGAGGCAAACGGACTGTCGGATGAACAGAAACACGCATTGCTCGGACCCCTGTCGTCCTCTGACACAAAAGCTCTTAATTCGACAATGCGTTCGCCGAAAGGGGACAATAGTCTCGACTTTAGGTAAATAACGATTCCTTCGATCTTCTCGACACCAGTCTTTCACTTCTTCGCCTTCGCGAACGCCGTTTCACGTTGATTTTTTAGCTTCCGCTAAACGGAAGCTTTGTATGCGTAAAAATGATTACGAACCACAAAAGCGAGATTGCTGAGAACATTATTGCTGAGCCGAGATTTTTTGGAATAATAAGCATTCGAGATGAATCGTGTGGTTTTATACGCGATCCACCGAATCTCCGAGGTAATTAAAGAGGGGAAAAAATTAGGATTATTTTTTTCCAAGGCTGCGCAGCGTCAGAAACGTGATTCGGCCGAGCGAACGACGAAGAATTCGGAATCGGATTAGCGAGAGCGATGGGACGCTCGATTTCGCTCCCGCCTGTTTCGAGCCTTTCATTTTTCGTCCCCGCGGGAACGTCGGCTCGGTATTTGCATTACAAATACACCTTTACCGAGGTTTTTCTCGTTTCATTAAATTCGCTTTTTCCTCGGAGATGTACCTCTTCTTCGGCCGGTTCTTCCACCGTCATGAATGTACTCTCGGATTCATCCCCTTTCTGTATAGCCCGGAAGGGTTGTATTAAGAATTGTAATTCTGTGGGAAAAGTTTGTCGCCACCGAATGTAGAAATCGTTTGTTCCAAGAACGTGCGCCGAAATAAGATATCATAGCGTTAATTATCAGTCAAGGAGCGCTCTAGAGGATTTTTCTTGCCATAGCTACTGTTATAATTACTTTACTGGAGAACTGTAAATTTCACGATAATGGTTATTCTTTTCTGTGCAAACAATGGGATTAGTAAATTATTGAATATATCTGTAAGTTTTAATATTCTATTTAACATTCTCATTTCCTTATAACAAAAAGAAATTTTAAATAAATTTGATAAAGACATGCAATATATCGTGCTGATTTTAAAACCGGCTCACATAGGTTCTTATCGTATTCGATTTATATTAATAGTGAAATGCGTTAAACATTACTTTAACGAATAATATATTCTCAGTATCAGACGCATAATCGTCTGGATATAGCGTTGTGTTCCGGTACACTGCGACCAGCACCGGATTTCCGTCTCGATGACGAATGTTTACTTGCCGTAAATCTTTATCTGCCGTGCTCGCCCCCGCGTTCCGTTCGACGATGATAATCGCGTACGTGCTGCGCGATCCGATGCTCCGCTCAGAATCGGATTTATTCGTTACATGTGGACGTTCCGATAGTTATATCCTGACGAAATTGAGATATGATCAGATCTCTCCCTCGCGGCCGGCGAGCAACGCTAACGTGAATTATGGAGCTCGCGTGCCACGCGAGAGACGCGAGAGAGCGTCATTTTTGGCGTTGAGATATTTACGTGGGAACACGATTTTCCTGAATTTTCGGATCGGTAAATTCAGGCTGAACGCCAATGATCAATAGCCGTACACGTACTAGATTCAGACGCCTCTGGTCACGAAATCGTTAAATTGATATTCACATTTAACGCTATCACTATAGAGTATTTCAGATTTTTATTTCTCTACGGATCCTTTGATCAAACTAAAAGTGATCTTTCTTTATTTAAAATTGCAAAGGTTTTTTTCCGAACTAAATTAAAAGCGCGACAAACAGTAATAAAATCTTATTCTTTATTAAATGTTAAATGGATTTTATTTGAATAGGTTTGTAATTGTAATTTGAGATTTAATTGCAAAAATATCTGATATTGAAAAGTTTTGTGATAAATGTGATAGCGCTTCTCTTAATATATTTCTTAAAGATTTACTTTGGATTGAAGAATAAAACTGTAAATTAAATAAAAAATAAATTTGTAGGTCTGAAATATTCTGTAACTTAAGTAACAAAGTGCTTTACACTATCGTGTTTCACTCCTGTGATACGTGTCCTACAATTCCCAGGTAACAAAGAAATTTTACAAACTCGAGTTCTTATATAAAGTCTCGTGTCTACATCTTGCTTGCTACGCCGTCTTAATTAAAGTTGGCTGACTTCTGGCTTGTTGCGTCCTTCGCGTCACTCGTCAGGCTTGTCCCCAAGGGTGCAATTTACTCGCATCTTCTCCTTCCATTCCTTCGTTCAACCCCACCATCGGTCGGTTTTAGCTTGCCGTGCCTGTATCCGTTCTGCCTACCAACGAGCTTCTTAAATGCGACTGGCAGCCGTCTTCTTATCTTTCATCATCTAACGCTGATCAGCTGATTAATTTATGCGAGAGAGATTTTAATGAAGAAAAAAAGCCATTAACTTCCGCCTGATAATTGTTCCCTTATCCGTCGTCAACTTTTCCTTTCGCGTTACTGTTTTACATAGAAATAACGAATCTCCGTATATTAATGCGGTTTTTCTGATTTATTGAACTAGAAAGCGAACATCTTTTTTACATTTTTTTATTATACATGGAATTTAATATGCATTTCCTCGATTCTATAATACTGTTATCTGTTATGAAAAAAAATATGAGATTATATGAGCATATTATTTTATGTATATTGGAAAATAAAAATCATAACCGATTACGTATACATAAATGTGTTATATCTAAATTCTGTGTAAAATACAATCGTAAAATGAATTTATGTGCATAAAGCAGATAACAGCAGATGTTTTAAATCAAAATTAGTCGTACTGAAATATCTTCTTTAAGCTGCGCAATCCTTTTATAAATCGGTTAATTAAAAATCAGCGAATAAAAACGCAATTACAGAAGGTAAAGGCTTGCGATCGAGGGGTGGCATTGCCTTGAATAAGAGTCATTTCTTGATATTGTTTTTGAATATAATTTAGGATGGCACTCTCTCTTTGTATATGACTATGAACTTGGATACGATGCGGTATCCTCTTTAAGGCATCCGTTGGTCAGAGGTAGGGATCCTTTTTGGTCTTTACTATGTAAAACAGTCCCTGCAGTCCCTTTGTCCAGCAGACCGCCGTTGAATGTTAAAGTTCTGACCAGATTGAGATGGCGTACCGCTCGCGTTGCAGACGGACAAGATTTTTTCGCGACACGGTCCATTCGATATTTATTTAGGAACGAAGGCGTACGCCTTCACCCATGGGAGTATCAGAGATTTTCATGGCACGAGAAATAGATTTCAATCTATGTCCGCGCTCTTTATTCACAAGTGTTGAACTTTGTGACTTTTTTAAATATTTGCTCATATGCCAATACTACATTAAATAAATGTTACTTTATACTGCCAGTTTACATATTGCAATAGTGATATGTAATATCATAGCAAATAGTTACGCCGTATTATTTATAATAATCCAATATAATTTACTTTTGTCTTTTAATCATTAATAGATCTAATAAAATTTAAGATTACATAACGCTTGATTCTGACGCGTTTTATTGACTTCGAGACTAACATTTAGAGACATCAGATATCGAGACGAAGTCCGCTCCCATCTTTTGCACACGGCGTTATAAATGGGCGCTATAAACGTGTAGGTGTCGTTTCATCGAGTGAAGATGGGGGGGGGATGGGGGCATGTGATCGTGGGCGCACAGGGAGATTCACCATTAGCCTGCAGGTGTTGGATATCCCAGCCATGCCATCACCCCCTCATTTCGGACGATCATGCTCAAGATGATCCCCCGACCGACAGGCGTTAGTCTTGCTATCTTGCAACGGGACAGAAAGAGAGATAGAGATAGAGAAAATAATCCTCTTCCGTGTATTATCCCACGGGTTCTTGGAGAAATCGCTGTTAATGGGTTTTGTAAAATAGACTTGAATTTCTCAGCGGTTATTGATAGATTTGCCTTGTTGTTGTTAATTGTTGTTATCTCTGTGCGAGTTTCATGCTCGCGCGCAGTTTTTGTTGCAGATTAATATAATTGCCACGGGTTAGGTCAATTTATTCAACTGATATTCTAATTACTCGTTTGTTGCAACATAAAGTGAAGAGTACGTTTTTTTATTAGCATTCCGTATAACGATTATATGAATCGATTCTCTCGAAGGCAATTTGTATATCTTTGTGCTATTCCCGTCACTAAAATTAAGAAGATTTCATCGTGAGACTACATCTTGATCGATATCTCTTAAAGATCATTAAAAATATGGAAAAAATATTTTTGCGGCCGTTTCCAACAAATGTACATCTATTCTACGCGGAAATTAGATTTTATCTAAGAGACATCTAAACATCTAATTAGCATATTCGCAAGTGTTCTCATGAGCGTACTTTCTAGCTGGCGTAAATATGGCGCTACATCCGTAATCCTTGTACGCGCACTCTTCCATCCTGTAATTACATTTAATCTCGTGGATTTGCATGCGATAACGCTTCGGCCTGACTCGGCAACCGTATACGGACCATCTGCATTCCACTTGCTCCTCAGGATCTAATTCCGGCTGCGCGGGATAAACGAAGAACCCATCGCTTACGTCCTCTTGATGGCTCTTGTAGTTGCATTTCTGCTCGTGCACGTATTTCCGTCTCCTCGGCAT